GGCTTTCCTAATAACGCGATGTTGCTAGAGACTTCCTTGCCATTCGTGGAGGACTCGCGCTTCAGCAGTCCGCCCGCTCGACCCGGTCGCCTGGGCCCGCCCTCCCCAACCCGCCCGCTGGGGTCTGCCCGCCCGATCCGCCTCTCTCGTTCTACCACGACGTGCTCTCTGCTCCTGGCCCCCCTCCTGCTAATTTCTCTCGTGCTCCATCTTTCTCCCTTTCTCTTTCACCCGTCCTCTCCTCTTTGCTCAGGGGCAGCATTGCGTGCGCGTGGCAGGTGAGGCAGATGTGCCCTGAAGAGGGTACTGTCGAAGACGAAGAGGGCGTGTATCGAGGGTTTGGGATGGATATACGTGTTGAATGGCACGCGAGCAGATCGAGGCGAGCAGTCTAAAACTGATTGTTTCTGCTGCTTTTGTTGTTATTGAAAACTCATGTCTGAAGAATAATTATTGTTGATCCCCCCCACCGGTGCAGTTTTTTTCTCAATCAAATTGTGCCCCTCGACGCTCGCACCCTGTTTTTTGACAGGGAAAATCTTCCTGCTCGAACTGGGCCTCTGGCCCCCGGGTTACAACAACAACAACAACAACGGCACCCGCCTGAGACTCCCTTGCAATTTAGCCAGGAACCCCGTTCCCGCCCGAGACTTCCTTGCATTTTATTAGGGGTCGCGCTCTCGCTTGGGACTTCCTGACAATTTATTGAGGAATCGCTCTCCCGGCGCTCTGGAGTCGCGCTCTCGCTGGAGACTTGCTTGCAACTTACTGAAGAATGGCCTTGCGTTGGAATTCCTTGCAATTTGCCCAAGCGCCGCGCTCCCGACACCCAGGCACCCAGGAATCGCGCCCGTTGTGGCCCCATGTGCGTGCCCTTCGTGGCCGCGCTGTCGCCATTTGTGTCCCCCTCACTGTCCTACGTGGCCCAGTTGCTACCCTCAGTGGCCCCATCGTTGCCTTCTGTGGCCCCGCATTATCTGCACTTCGTGGCCACCGCTCGTTCGCGCTCTTCGTGGCCCCATACGCATTCCCTTCGTGTCCCCGCTGTCGCCCTTCGTGGCCTACTTCGTGTCCTTCGTGGCCCTGCTGTCGTTCTCTCTCGTTTTCGCTTTCGCTCGTCGTCGCCGTCGCCGTCGTCGTCGTCGCCGTTGTCGTCGCCGTCGTCGTCGTCGTCGTCGTCGACGTCGTCGTCGTGGTCGTCGTCGTGGTCGGTCCCCTGTCCGTCTTTCTTGGGGTCGGGTCGACGGTCCGCGGCCGCCCCGCCGATCAGCGCTGCCGCTGGCCAGGCCGACGGTCCGCGGCCGCCCCGCCGCTTGCCGGGGCTCGGTCTGCAGGGAAGAAAGGTATAACCCCCTACAGGGGCTCGATCGAAGACGAAGAGGGCGGGTATCGAGGGTTTGGGAAATACGCGTTATTGGACACTCGAGCATATAAGGGCGAACGGTATTGAAATTATTGTTGCTGTTGTTGTTCGTGTTGCGTGTGGTGTTGCTGCTGTGGTTGTTGTTGCTACTATTGTTGTCGATGGTAGTACTGCTATTGTTTCTGTTTATATTGTAGTTGTTGTTGAACTCATTTATGAAGAATTATTAGTGTTGATCCCCCCTTCCGGTGCACATTGCTTTTTTCGATTGAAGTGCCCTTCCCGGGGCTCGCACCCTGTTTTCTATCAGGGAAATTCTTGAGCGTCAAACTGTGTTCCCCGGTTTACAACAACAGCTGCTCCCACTTGAGACCCCCTCGCAATTTAGCCACGACCTCCGCCCCCGCCCGAAGCTTCCTCGCATTTTATTCAGGAATCGCGCCTGTCGCTTGGGACTTCCTTACAATTTATTCAAGAATCGCTCTCCCGGCGCTCTGGAGTCGCGTTCTCGCTGGAGACTTGCTAACAATTTGCTGAAGAATAGCACCCTTACGTTGGAATTTCTTGCAATTTACTCAAGCGCCGCGCTCCCGACACCCAGGCACCCAGGAGTCGCGCTCACGCTTGGGACTCCCTCGCATATGACCTCGGTATCGGAATCTCGCTGCCCTTCGTGGCCCCGTTGCAGCCCTTCGTGGCCCCCTCGTTGCAGCCCTTCGTGGCCCCCTGGCTGGCCTTCGTGGCCCCGTTGCAGCCCCTCGTGGCCTCCTCGCTTCCCTTCGTGGCCCCGTTGCAGCCCTTCGTGGCCCCACTCTTTTGTTTCGTGGCCCCGTTGCAGCCCTTCGTGGCCCCGTTGCAGCCCTTCGTGGCCCCGTCGCAGCCCTTCGTGGCCCCGTTGCAGCCCTTCGTGGCCCCCTCGCTGCCCTTCGTGGCCCCGTTGCACCCCTTCGTGGCCCTCTCGCTGCCACTCGTGGCCCCATATATGTATGCCCTTCGTGGCCCCCGCTCGTTCGCGCCCGTGGTGGCCCCATATGCATGTGCTTCGTGGCCCCGCCGTCGCCCTTCGAGGCCCCTCGCTGCCGTTCGTGGCTCCGTTGCTGCCCTCAGTGGCCCCGTCCTTGCCCTCCGCGGCCCAGCGTACGTATGCCCTTCGTGGCACCCGCTCGTTCGCGCCCGTCGCGGCCCCATATGCATGCCCTTCGTGGCCCCGCTGTGGCCGTTTGTGGCCCCCTCGCTGTCCTACGTGGCCCAGTTGCTACCCTCAGTGGCCCCATCGTTGCCTTCTGTGGCCCCGCATTATCTGCCCTTCATGGCCCCCGATCGTTCGCGCTCTTCGTGGCCCCATACGCATTCCCTTCGTGTCCCCGCTGTCGCTCTTCGTGGCCTACTTCGTGTCCTTCGTGGCCCTGCTGTCGTTCTCTCTCGCTCTCGCTTTCGCTCGTCGTCGCCGTCGTCGTCGTCGCCGTCGTCTTCGACGTCGTCTTTGTCGCCGTCGTCGTCGCCGTCGTCGTCGGCGTCGTCGACGTCGTCGTCGTGGTCGTCGTCGTGGTCGGTCCCCTGTCCGTCTTTCTTGGGGTCGGGTCGACGGTCCGCGACCGCCCCGCCGATCAGCGTTGCCGCTTGCCAGGCCGACGGTCCGCGGCCGCCCCGCCGCTTGCCGGGGCTCGGTCTGCAGGGAAGAAAGGTGTACCCCCCTAAAGGGGCTCGATCGAAGATGAAGAGGGCGGGTATCGAGGGTTTGGGAAATACGCGTGATTGGACACTCGAGCAGATAAGGGCGAGCAGTCTTAACATGATTGTTGTTGTTGTTGTCGTTGTCGTTGTCGTTGTCGTTGTCGTTGTCGTTGTTGTTGTTGTTGTTGTTGTTGTTGTTGTTGTTGTTGTTGTTGAACTCTCACTATTGAAGAATAATTGTTGTTGGTCCCCCCGCCCGGTGCACATGGTTTTTTTTTCGATTGAGGTGCGCATCCCGGGGCTCGCATTTTTTATCAGGGAACGTTTTGCGGCTCAACTTCCTTGGTATTTACTCTGGTCCCCCGCTCCCTCTTGAGACTTCCGTGCGAGTTACTCAAGAATCGCGCGCCCGCTTGAGACTGCCTCGCAAATTACTCAGGCGCCGCGCCCTTGCCATTCAGGAATCGCACGTTCGCTGGGGACTTCCTCAGCTTTGCTTAGGAATCGCCCTCTCGCTGGAAACTCCCTGGCCAATCACGCAGGGCTCACGATCGATCTGCCCGTTCGGCCCGCCCGTCAGGGTCATGCCCTTCGTGCCCCATGCTCGCTCGCGCCCTTTGTGCGTCATTGCTGGTTTTCTTGGCCCCTCCCGTTGTGGCCCCGTCCCTGCCCTTCGTGGCCCCGATGCTGCCCTCAGTGGCCCGTCGCTGCCCTTTGTGGCCCATATATACGCCCTTCGTGGCCCCCAGTCGCTCGTGGCCCAATTGTTGCCCTTCGTGGCCCCGCTGCTGCCCTCAGTGGCCCCCTCGCTGTCCTTTGTGGCCCCGTCGCAGCCCCTCGTGGCCCCGTCGCAGCCCTTCGTGGCCCCGCTGCAGCCCATCGTGGCCCCCTCGCTGTCCTTCGTGGGCCTGCATCAGCGTTTCGTGGCCCCCTCGCTGCCCTTTGTGGCCCTGTTGCAGCCCGTCGTGGCCCCCTCGCTGCACTTTGTGGCCCCGTTGCAGCCCGTCGTGGCCCCGTCGCTGCCCTTCGTGGCCCCGTTGCACCCCTCTGTGGCCCACTCGCTGCCCTTCGTGGCCCCGTTGCAGCCCTTCATGGCCCCCTCGCTGCCTTTCGTGGCCCCCTGTATGCATGCCCTTCGTGGTCCCCGCTCGTTCCCGCCCGTCGTGGCCCCATATGCATGTGCTTCGTGGCCCCGCCGTCGCCCTTCGAGGCCCCTTCGCTGCACTTTGTGGCTCCGTTGCTGCCTTCAGTTGCTCCGTCCTTGCCCTCCGCGGCCCAATAACTATGCGCATGCCCTTCGTGGCCCCCGCTCGTTCGCTCCCGTCGCGGCCCCATATGCATGCCCTTCGTGGCCCTGCTGTCGCCCTTCGTGGCCCCCTCGCTGTCTTGCGTGGTCCCGTTGCTACCCTCCGTGGCCCCGTCGTTTCCCTCTGTGGCCCCGCATTATTTGCCTTTCGTGGCCCCCGCTCGTTCGCGCCCGTTGTCGCCCCATACGCATGCCCTTCGTGGCCCCGCTGTCGCCCTTCGTGGCCCCATTCCTGCCCTTCGTGGCCCCGCTCTCGCTCTCGCTTTCGCTTTCGCTTTCGCTCGTCGCCGTCGTCATCGTCGCCGTCGTCGTCGCCGTCGTCGTCGTGGTCGGTCCCCTGTCCTTCCCTCTTGGGGTCAGGTTGCCACCGGTCAGCGCTGCCGCTGGCCAGGCCGACGGTCCGCGGCCGCCCCGCCACTTGCCAGGTCCTGGGCCTGCAGGGAAGAAAGATTACCCCCCGGAAGGGATACGATCGAAGACGAAGAGGGCGGGTATCGAGGGTTTAAGAAGTACACGTTGAATGACACTCGAGCAGATACAGGCGAACAGTCTCAAACTGGTTGTTGTTGCTGCTGCTTCCCTTGTTCTCTATCCTTCCCAATGGCGTATCCCGGCGCCTTGCGTTAGCTCCCGAGGTGGGCGGATGCCCCGAATGTTATGGACGCAGAGGAGTTCATTCAGTTATTCTACGAGTACAAGGTCGCTTCGCCCCCATCGCGTCGCGAGCACCCCTGGTCAGGCAGGTGTCCTCTCTCCTGTCGCCTCATCGTTCGTTCTCTTCCCTGTGCTCGTGTCCTCGTCGTCGTCGTCGTCGTCGTCCTGAGGACACCTGGGATATCCGGGATATATCAATCTCTAGGCCGTCTTGAGGCCATCTTGGGCGTCATGGAGCTGTTTGTCGTAGATTTGGACCCATTCATTGTGGGAGCATGTGCAGGCTGTCTGTTGATTTTTCCGAGCGGTCTGGGCTGTTTTGGAGAGCTGATGGACGCTTCTAGAGCCTCAGAAACCGTCCACAGGTGTTTGTACACCCCCTTGGTGAGTGGTGAGTTCGGCTGGGGGTCGCCAGCGGCCGGGGGAGGTGGGATCAAACGCGCAATGTTAGACCTGGGGGGAGATCGTAGGGGGGAGCTATCTCACAAAATGAAGACCCACAAAAGGCTGGCGAATTTTGGCTTCTTGGCCTGGCCCTCAGGGGGCCCAAGGGGCCCCTGGGAGACCAGGGCGGTCCCCTGGGACAGTCAAGGTTCTCAAGTATGCTTTCGAAAGTTTTTGGAAGGCTCTTGGGGGACGTTGGAGTCGGCAAGGGCGGGCTTGTCGTTCTGGAGGGCCACGGGTCACACGCCGCAAGAAGCGTCTGGCGCCGCCAATGATTTCCGGCAAATTGGTGATCTGGGCCCCTCACGAGTCCTGCAGTCGTTGAAGCAACGCTCGCATACGTAAGAGCCTTGGAGCACTCCAAACACGTGGTGAAGGCACAGTGGCGGACAGAAGGAGGAAGAGAAAGATGCATGAGTGTGAGGCAAGAGTGGATAAGGACGAGGGAGTTCGGAGAAGGAGGATGGAGGAGAGAGAGTACAGGAAAAGGAACATACTAGTGGATGAGTAAGACGGCAAAGGCAATGGTGGAAGCCGACGAGCAGGAGTAGGAGGATAATCACGACGATGATGCTGATGACGACGGCTATGACGATGACGATGACGATGCCGATGATGATGATGATGATGATGATGATGATGATGATGATGATGATGATGCTGCTGCTGCTGCTGATGATGATGATAAGGATGCTGATGTTGATGCTGTTGCTGTTGATGGTGATGCAGACGATGTTGATGATAACGGGGGTGATGATGATGATGATGGTGATGCTGCTGATGATGCTGATCATGCTGCTGATGCTGCTGTTGATGAAGAGGATGCTGATTATGCTGACGATGATTATGGTAATGTTGATGAAAAGGAGGATGAACATGATGAGGATTCAGATGATGGTACCGATGCTGCTGCTGCTGATGATGTCGCTGATAATGATGATGCTGCTGCTGATGCTGATGATGAATATTATGATCATGATTATGGTGATGATGCTGATGCAGCTGCTGGTGATGATGTTGATGCTGCCGATGATGATGCGGATTCTGATGATGATGATGCTGATGATGATGATGATGATGATGATGATGACGACGATGATGATGATGATGATGATGCTGATGATGCTGGCGATGCTGATGCTGGTGAGCAGAATGAGAATAATACTCACACGACGAACAACTTAATACTACGGTCATGCTGAATAGGAGTATGATGCCGATTGTGATGATACTGATGCTGATGCTGATGCTGCTGGGGAAGAGGAGGATGAGGATGATGCTGACGAGCAATCAAGAAGGATGACTAAGAATGGTTGGAGTAGGGAGAGATGGGATAACTGATGAGGAGGGAGAACGTGGGAGTAGCAGGGAACTCTGAGGAGGATAGAAGGGGGGATGGTGGAAGAGAATAACGAGTAACGACGACGGGCATCATGGTGGACGAGGAGGAGGGCGAACCCGAGACACATCAGGAGGACCGTGAGAGGAACACCAGAGAGGAGGAGCAGGCGGGATGAGGAGTACCAGGGAGGCGTGAGAAGACCGCGCATGGAGAAGGGAGAATGAAGGAGAGAAGATGGAGAGGGTGGGAGGGATGGAACGTCTCGGTTGGAAGGAGTGGGTGATGTGAGCGGGGGGGGGGGGGGCGAGGGATGCAGAGACGAAGGTGGACAGAGAGGTAGTGAGGGATGCGTTGCTGCTTCCGCCTTCAGGATACCATATCCCAGGGCATCGATGGCGATGGCATCACGCAGAGCTGGTTCCGCTGCTACGAGAAGCTTGGGATGCGGCACTCCTTGATGCTGAACTCTTTCGGCGTCGATACGCGGAAGGCCCGCATGTTGCTTTGCGCTTTCCGCACTTGCTTGCTATCGGCTTGACATAGATGTTGCCCGTGGCTTCCCATTGCATGCGCCATCAAGGCCTGGAGGAGGAGGAGGAGGAGGAGGAGGAGGAGGAGGATGAGCAGGAGGAGAGGGGGCGGGGTGACGAGTCGAGAAAGCGACACCGCCGACTCAGGTGGGTCAATTTGCGACGGGTCCTGGTTCCGTGCAAACTTTACGTGCTTCGTCGCCAAACGTGGAGGTATCAGCTTCACGCATGTCTTAGGTTGGACTTTCCCCGATTCGGTCATCTGGCGCCCACGCGCCAGCCCCTTCGTTCCCTGATCCAGCTTAGCGTGGGCAGGGATGATGACGGAAGAGGGAGGTCATCGAGTAGAATGTAACCTTGTGGAGGACGATCAATGGAGAGGAAGCATGTTGCGAAGTACATTCCAGATGTTTAGAACATGTGTTAACCTGTTTCTAAACATGTTACAAGTATATGTGAAACATTTCCATGACAGTTTCCGACATTTTAAACACATTTTAATTCGATGGTAGGACTGCTAGTGTGTCCATTGTCGTGGCGTCCACAAATGTAAGCCATAACCTTGATCACATGTTGAAGACGTGGCCTCACTCAGGTCCCCGTCCTTGTAAAAAGGGATACTCCATCGGGGTGGTCTGGCCTGATGGATGCATCTGCAGAACAGACCCACTCATCCTTGATGTTCTTGGCCCTCTTTTTTTGGGTGCCGCCCCCAAGGGTTAGGGTGTTTTTTTCCAGTGCTACTTCGGACGAGGAGGGCCGCAGGACCACCGCCAGGCGTGTCGGGACGGGGCGGATGCCGAGTCTGCACATGCTCCGCAGCTGCGCGGAGGCATGGCGGAGAGTTGCCCGAGGCGTGGTTTTCCCGCCCCGCCGGCGCGCACACGTCCGTCTTCACGTGAGCGACGGACGAAAGAGCAGGGCCGCCCTCGCTGGCATTGGCGCGCGAGCTGCCCGCGCGAACATGTGGCAGCGCGTGGTAAGGACTGCAAGCTAGCTGGAGATTGCACAGACGAGTTTGCAACACAAGTTCATGTTGTTCTTGCGCGCGCTGCTGCGCTCTGGCGCCAGCGCCATCGTCTCCAGTGTGGCGTGCCGCCCTGGCGGCCCGCGTGGGCCGCGGCGCAGGGCCGCTATATGCCACCTCGCGCGAGGCCCGCCTCTTCATTCGTCGCGCACGTCGTGCTCCAAGCGCACGGGTTGAGGCGATGTCGTCGTCGGTGTGTGCCTCCTGCCTCGAGTTTCCACGCCGGCTTCGAGCGGTGGCCTGGATGCCCGGGTGGAGGTCGGGTCTCTGATCCATGTGTGGCTCTCTGCTCTCTGGCCGTGCGCGGGCGTCCTGGCACACCACTCAGCAGCTGTGCGGTTGCAGGGCGGCTCCTCCCGGGACCGGGGCTCTCGCTCCAGAGAGCCTCTCGGCGCTGCCGCCGTGGAGCAGGGAGCCGCCGACCCGCTCGCGCGCCGTGGAGCGCGGCCCCTCTCCGGCGCGGGGCCCTCGCCCGACGCCCCGCCGGCTCCGATGGCCCCGAGCCTTCTGTCGGGCGTGTCCCCCTACAAAGGGATTTTCGACGAAAAAGTGAGAATACCCCAAACCTACCCCAAAAAGGTGAGAAAAACACTTTAAAAAATAGTCCCCATATTATTTTTGGACCATTTTTTTTTTTTTTTAAATTTAATTTTTCGTCCAAAATTCCCCTGCAGGGGGACAGGCCCGACTGAACCCGAGCCCGCGCAGCCCGAGGTGGCACCGGCCGCGCGCGAGGGAGGGCGCTCCGCCGCCGCGCGGGGCGCCTCGCGTCGTGCCGCTGCCGCGGGCGCGGCCGAGGACGGAGGGCGGAGTTCTCCTCGTGCACCGGGGCGGAGCCCTGCAGCGAAAAGGCGAGAAGGCACAAAAACATGAAAAACACCTTTGAGTTGAAATGTGTTGAGTAATTTGAGCCTCTTAGAGGTCTCGTTGGGAGGCCCGGAGGGCACTTGGGGCCGTCCTGGGGCGATCTTGAGGGCTTTCGGAGGCATGTTGGAGGCTACCTTGCACCATCTTGGGATATCATGGAGACGGGGGGGCCGGTGCAGACGGGGGCCAGCCAGAGCGCCAGGCCTTGCAGGATCCTGCAGGGCCAGGGCCGCACTGACCCGGGCTTGGGTGCAGGATCCTGCAGGGTCTTGCAGGATCCTTCGCGTTGACTCGGGTTTGGGTGCAGGACCCTGCAGGGTCTTGCAGGATCCTGCCAGGCCTGACTGACCCGGGTCTGGATTGACCCAGGTCAGCAGATCCCCGATCCTGGCCGAGGTGGCGCCCGTGGTTCGTTCGGGCAGAGGATCGCGGAAATCGCCGCCGCCCCCGCCGCCGTTCGAAGGACAAAAACGCCATAGACATAAACTTTGGCGCTCCGCGCGGATTCCTTGGATCTGCGCTGGCCCCCCCCCCGGCGCCGCCCCTGGCGCGCTCCGCGTGCCAGGGAGGGGGGTCCAGCGCAGATCCAAGAAATCCGCGCGGAGCGCCAACAGTTAATGTTTATGCAGTGGTTCCATCTTCCAGTCGTGATCGTCGTGGCGGCTTGGCTGGGCGCGTGTGCACGCTGCGCGCCCGCCATGGGCTCCCCTTCGAGCCGTGAAGGGGCCAGCACGGGCCAAGGGACGCACCCCCTGCCATCGAGGCGAGCGAGGAGGTGCGGCTTCCTCACAGGAGTGGGGAGGGCGCTGGCGAAGGAGCTCGAGGAGCTAGAGGGGGACGGAGAGGAGGCGAGGAGGGGGCGGCAGGAGGAGAAGGAGCCGCGGAGGAAGCCCCAGGAGTGCGGGGCCAGGTTTCCTCTCTGCCCCCTCGCCGCGGTCGTGAAGGCCTACGGCGTCGACGAGGACGAGCTCGTGAAGCTGGGGCAGCGGGCGCTGGCGGCCGCCTCCGGAGAGGCCAGGGACGCCGCAGGGCGCCGCGGGGAGAACAAGCAGGAGCAGGCCAGCAGGTCCGCCAGGGAGGCAGGCCGCAGGGGAGGCCAGCTCACGGACGGCAGGCTGGGGCTAAAGACCAGCTCGAGGCGGCCATGCGGGATGCCGCAGGCGCTGGGCGGAGCGCGCGAGGCGCACCTGCGTGGAGGCGGAGGAGGCGGCTGGCCTGCGAGGCATGTCGGCCACGCGGCTGCCCGATGAAGCGGCCGAGAGCGGCGGCGCGCCACGCGCGTGTGCCGCTCGGCAGGACATCTCGGCCGTTGCTTCGTCGTCTTCTCCCCTTCTGCGTGGTGGCACAATTCGCTCAACTCACCGAGCGCGTTCCACAGCTCGCGAAATGCCGACTCGCAAACGTGCGAAAAACACATGTCTGCCTCGATGTAATGGATCGCAACCTCCTCGCGGCGGATCCGGGCCACTTGCGAGCAGTTACTTTGCGAGTCGTGGAACGCCCTTGTCTATCCACGGCAGCCCCGTTTCGCTCCCTCGCCAGCGCAGCGACTCTGCCTTGCCGCCGACGGCAAACGTGCCGCTCGGCGGGGGCTTCGGTGCGCGCTGCCCGTGCTCCGCCGCCGTCCGCGGCGCCCGAAGCGTCGCCGCGGCCTCCCGTGCATCGGGATGCCACTCTCGGGAGGGTGAGCTCGGCATCGGCGCTGGCAGAGGCGCGGTCGAGAGCTGGTATAGTCCGGCACAGTCCCGCTCGAGCCCGCTTCACCAAGCCTGGCCAGACTCGATCCCGGGCCCACTCTGGGCCAATCCTGTTCCACGGCTCCTTTCTCGGGCACCGTAGCCCCTGATCGTTCTCTCGTGAGACCTTTTAGGAGCTGCCTCCTCACTCCCGTCGGCCCAGGTCATCCTCGCCACCGAGGGGGACGAGAGCAGGGTGATGCAGATCGCCATCAACTACGAGCTGTGGGAGCGAGCCCTCCACCGCGGGCGGGGGGTTGCGGCACGACGGACGGGCCGTGGGGGTCAGCGGCGAGGGCGGGGGGACCCATTCGAGGGATTACGATAGGGACGAGTATGATACCGAAGGGGAGGAGGAGGAGGAGGAGGAGGAGGAGGCGGAGGAGGAGGAGGAGGAGGAGGAGGAGGAGGAGGAGAACAAGTCGAGATCCCCATCTTCGGGGCCAGGCAACCGCTGAGCTGGCCATTCTTGGCCTTTTCTCGCACATGGTCATGCATTCATGCATATATAGTACGCATGTGGTGCATGTTATGTATCACTTGGCATTGACGTGCCCACTCTGCAAACTACGAAGCTTTGAGTTCCATGAGAGGTTCAACCCTGCGTCGTCCTTGACCCCCCCCATGTATAGCCGTTTACGCCCAGAGCGCCGAGACACTTCAGCACTCTAATGCTGAACAGCCGCTGTGCGAAGCTGCGGATCAGCGGTTTCTGCTCCTTCGCTCGCATCGCCGAACGTGATGACAGACCGTGGCAACCATCCACTGGCCCACCCCGTCATTCAGGCCGTCGTCATCACACTCGCCAGCTAACTCTGTCCACGATCTCGGGATGAGTTCTCGATGCAGGACGCGGTCGTGTTGCTCATGGTGAGCCCCTGCAGCCGAATTCAAGAAGTCGTAGGCTGGAGTACCGATATTGCACTCTCACCTCCGAGCCCTTCAGCGCGCAAGCCGCACGGCCCGTCAGTGCCATCATCTGGCTAAGAGCCAGATTGGCCGTGATGCCAGGCGGCGGAGTCTCCGGACCAGCCGATGCTTGAGTCTTGAGTTCTGACGAGACGAGGTCTCGACCAGGACCTGTTTCGGCCCTGAGGTCCGACGAGGTCACGTCCTCCCTGGGGCGCTCGAGCTGTGGTAACTCGATTGCTCTCGGCCACGAACACCCGGCATAGACATTCGTCAGCACGCCAGCATTGCGAGACATCCAGGAACGTCCTGCGGTGAGGTTTGAAGTTGCCGACAGAGGGCAACATTTTGATGCCATTGCCTTTTTTCCACCCAGGTGTGCTGCTGCTTGTTGCCCCAGCCATCTTATCCACATCAATCAACAAGCTCTTGAACTCACTCGGGAATGCATGTTAAACCAATGTGAAGGAATTCTCGATTGAGCTTGGCTGCTGGCTCCAGTGCCACATTTGGGCGATGTATGCAATCACTGCCAGTCACGTACGCGATGATGGGTAGAATCCGCCCACGAAGCTGTCGGACATTTTTCAACGCAGGTAACGCTGCAATGTTGGATCGCACTTTGGCCATGCCCGTCGCTCACCAGGTCGACCCTTGATGAAGCGAGAGCTCGAAGGTCCCATTTGCGAACTTGCAGACTGTGTCGGGGTCAGGTGCCTCCCACGCGAAAGGCGTCATTATACTTTTGTCTCTGGTGCGCACATCGCTCGTGGCTCCGAGCCATAACGGGAGAAGAGCACACGGAGTAATTGCTAGCTATAGTTGTTTGCCGCTTGGGTTCCTTGACGTTCCAAGTTTGACAGGGGTGTGTCAGGCGGATGAACGTGTTTCACACGTCTTTTGGGTACGCGTCTCACATGCGCGTCGTCCGCCTGCTCCTCGATCCTGGCCGAGTCAGTTTGTGTATAGCTGCTGGGAGACGAAGCCCCGTGTGACGAAGTGTTCAGACCTCATATTGGCATCGCCATGGCGGGAATCCATGACCATGGATGTACCTTCAAGCTCGAATCCTTGGACATCAATCCAGAGAGTGGGCGATCAAAGCTTTATGAGTGCACGTTTGACTCATACGGAGTTCTATTGTTGGTTTGGCAATGTCAGCATTCCACCGTGCATGTTTCACCGTACATTCGTCAACTTTTCGTTCTGACGGATGAAATAGGCCATGCTCCACGCCAACCTGGTTCCTCATTCAAGCTCTTGTAGGTTGCTGCGCGTGGGCTCACATAGACGCGATAACGCATTGAGCTTGTTGAGCGACGTGACGTGGGGGCTTCGCGCGATAGCAGTTCACGGTGCAACACGGTAGGTTGGAGTTCCAGTCGTTTAATTTTTCAAGCAAGTCTGAGCCAGTACATGGCGTAGTGATTCGGAAGCCTACCGATCCAAAGCCAGTTTTTTCTTTGGCTGGCAATTCCTGGATGCTCAGCAGTGTTTGGCCCGGCCTTTTTAGAAGGTATTCGACCGAATTGAGAAGGGCTGCGCCCTCGATGTGGCGGCGTCGGGCAGCCACTCCATGCCACTCGGGAACGACTTCCCATACGCGCCCAAACCCGTTTTTTGTATTTCAGCGCTCTCAGAGCTCTCCACAGTCACCCACCGTGTACTCCGGATTGCACAATCATGAAACGGGGATGGCCTGGTTTGGGATGGGGTCTGACTTGAGCGGTCTCCGAGGGTTCCAGGGGTTCTGGGCAGAAGGCCGCCCAATCGTGGCTGGTCCAGGAGGAGTGTCAAATTGCTCGTCTGGGATGGTTGTGAACCCTTACCTCGTATTACACATGTGGCGTGCCCAGGACGGTCGTCCGAATCGCGAGGTGTTTCACGACACAGTTCCAAGACTCAAGACATTGTCCAACGCAGCCTCGGGGTCGGTGACATGCATGCAAAACCACTAGTGAAAGGCCCCTGTGGATGTACAGCGCGCTGGTCCGGCCTTTCTTTCTGTCTCCAGACGAGGGGCATCATCATGAGACACCCATCTATGGAACGCTCCGAGGATCGCGCGAGGCGCAGCTGGCTCTCGAAACTCGTCAAGTGACTCCGAGGGAGGAGGAGAGGGGTGGAGGAGGAGGAGGAGGAAGAGGAGGGAGGAGGAGGAGGTGGAGGAGGAGGAGGAGGCGGAGGAGGAGGAGGAAGAGGAGGGAGGAGGAGGTGGGAGGAGGGGAGGAGGCGAGGAGGAGGAGGAGGAGGAGGAGGAGGAGCTTCGTGGGATGACCACATCGCTCGATGGGGCACTCGAGAGCGCGCAGCTCGCACCCCCGCGACGCCTGCGAGTGCAAGCAGGCATCGAGGCCAAGCTGGCGCCGGGCGCTTTTCGGAGGGCCCAATTGGACCTGGCCAGGCCCATCCTCACCAGGTTCAAGCGCGCTCGTGCCAGTCGTCGGGGGCGGCAAAGAGGGGGGTGATGACTAGGGGGGGGTGGATGTCATGGCGGGGGCCATGATATTTCCTCAGATTTCATGGCGCCTCTTCTTATTCCATTACGTCCCTGGCCTCCCCGCTGGGCCGCGCACATGCCGCCGGTCATGATTTGCACCCCCCCCCTCTTGGACACCCCCCTCTTGGCCGCTCCCGAAGTCGTTGAGGAGGGGAAGGCGTGGGAGGAGGGGGAGAAGGGGGAAGACCGAGGGAAGGGTGGACCGGGGGGAGCGCGAGAGCAGGGAGGTGCCGCCGCGGCGGCAGCCGCGCGAGGACAAACGAGACGTGGAGAAGTTCGAGGCTCAGTTCGGCGATGCGCCTCCGAAGTGAGGCGAGAGCCCCGATAATGAGCTTCAGTTTAGTCCGAGTCCCACACAAAGGTCAAGTCGGGCCTGTCCCTCTACAGCGGGAATCTTCAGAAACAGTCAGGCAGGGGACTTTTGTTGTTGTTGGTGGTGTTTCTTAAGCACCTCTATATGTATACGTATATCTTCATACATATATATATGTATGCATCAGTTATGTATTTATGTATTTTGTTCATATATATATATATATATAAATTTGTCATCTCATTTTCGAGCATCTTTGGAACATGTCTTTTGTTTCCTTTTCATTCTTATTACTAAATCGTCCCAAATCCGCCTGTAGGGGACAAGCCCGACCTACACAGAGGTGGACAGCCCGTTGGAAGCCGAGGGCAGGCGGAGTCCGCCCCTGCTCGCCCGCATAATTATGCGCCGCCGCGCCTGCCGGGGAGCGGCGCCCGATCGGTGCCTCTTCGGGGCCTGCCGTGACCACTCGCGAGCAGCGAGGGGTCCACGCCGTCCCGCCGGAGAGGGGGGATCATCCATCACCACCCACCAAAGCACCCCAACCCATGCCGAAGGCTTCAGTGTGCCCTCCCTTTCCAGTGGGGGGGGGTCGGGGAACATCGACAAAACACACATATGGAGCCCATACCCCCCCCCCAGCCCGCAGTCCGGGTCTTCGGGTTGGGTTTGGGTGGTCTGGTAGGTAGTCAGAGGGAGGATCTAGGCCTCCCAGATGGGGTCGGAGTAGATTGGGTCGGAGGATCGCGCCGCATCGCCGATGCATCGACGATGCCGTCTCGATGAGGAGCCCGATTTTCTCCACGCCGACGGCGCTGATCCATCGGCGACGTCGACGATGCATCGCCGGTCCATCGCCGATGCATCGCCGATGCATCGGCGATGCATCGGCGATGCGGCGCGATCCTCCGACCCTATCTGCTCCGACCCCATCTAGGAGGCCTCTAGAGGAGGATAGGGTCAGAAGGGGAGAAGGAACCCATACCGCTACAGTCAACCCACATGGTCAGGAGGATGATCGGCTTTTCAGGGTTACCGTTGTGTCCTTCTCCTGCGGCCCATCCTTTTGGTCGCTTTCGCTGGCCGCGCCCCGCTCGCAGCGTGTCGACATGGCCTTCCAGGGCCCTTGTATCCTCATCGTACGTCCTCCTTAGACGGGTTGACTGTACCTCCTCCTCGTCGCCACGGCTGGATTCGCCTCGAAGTTCCGGTCAGAACGCACCCTCCTCCTCCTCCTCCTCCTCCTCCTCCTCCTCCTCCTCCTCCTCCTCCAGGGAGTGGCGGTATCGGCACCCTCTTGTGCCCCTCCGAGAGGAGGAGAGGAGGTCGGCGGCGCGCCGAGAGGGGGAGCGAGCGGGGGCAGGCCTCCTCAGAAGACGGAGGGGCTTCGCAGAGGGCTCGAAAATCCGAGGCGGGAATTTCTGCACGACCACCGCCCGGCGGGTCAGTTTTCGGAGCCTCGGCAGGCGGTGGATATGGACATGTTCGGGCCCCCGGGGGCCGAACTAT